CCAGACATGCAGTTACAGACTAACACTTTTTTGAGACATTGATCCATTAATGAAGGAGAGCTGCCCAATGTCAGGAGACACCTCTAACAGTTACTCCTTTTTCTTTTAAAAAAAAGCTTTTTCTCTCTTTCTCTCTCCTTGGCCCCCTCCTTCTGTGTTTCCTCAAAGCCAGACATCAGAGTTAAGCCCAAACAGATCTGAAGATTTTAAACAGCACATTCCTTTGTTTTAATTTAAATGTCTTTTTCCTTCCTCCCCTTCCTCACCTTAACGAGTTCCTGATAAAGCCCAGCTGTGATCATTTATGGTAAATTTTATCACAGAGGAATTAACACCTTTGAGATGCTGGGAAATTTGTCTTTTCCGTGCTTTTTTGTTGTAAACACACTTTCAAATAAAGTACAACTTTCAAGGCTTCTTGATTTATACGTAACTTCACCAAACAAGATTAGCTTATATCTCATTTTCTTCACTTTATTTTACAAATGCAAAAAGAATAATCCCTGTTTTCTTAAACGATGAAATTAAAAATGTACTTTATCTTAGCCATCATATTTTCCACACGAATACACTCACAGAAGCTGGCCATATAACAGAGCAGCATCAGTGGATGGTTTAGTGAGAAATGCAAGTCGTATAGAGCCACGGTGGCAGAGCCAGGTTGGTAATAGCTTTGGTTTGGACCAGAACTGGTAAAAGCATTGGTTTGGATCAGAACTGACTAATTTGTCAGCAGCTGTGCAGCTCCTGGTCTCAGTGACCCTGGGAGAGATTGATATCCAATCTCCTCACTTGGCTCCATCTCTCTCTGGCCAAACCACAAGGTCAAAAAGACAACTTGAAAAATTTGTTCATCACATGCTTTGCCTTTCCCTAAACTCTATTTATGCTTAATATTTTTTTCACTGGGGTGGGAGTTGCATTTCTAATTTTCAGCATCACAGTTTGGCTATGTTCTATCTTGTGTCTTTATGTTTTCCTAAATGATCTAATGGGACTACTGTTAGTGATATCGATATTGTAATTGAGATGGTGAACCTGGGAATTTAAGAGTGCACAGAGTTTCTACATGTCAACACAATAGTAGTCATTAATTTTTATTTATCCTTTTTATTTATTTAGTGTCCAAAACTGTGTCTGGATGCTGAAATAAGATCCCACTGGCACAATTGCCCATTTGGCTGTGATCAGGCCTCCGTTCCAAGCATGAAAGCAAACATACACACATGCAAAACATACACACACCAGCAAATGGATGAATTGCTGCTCCGCTGCATGACAACCCGTCTCTTGGCTCTGTAATAATCACAGAGTAGCAGTACAGGAAAAACACACGTGGTTTACACTACATTTCTTCTAGAATCCATATATGTGCCCATTCAAGCATAAGCATCGCAACGCACACCCACAGCCGCATACATAAACGCATGCACACACAAAAAACATCAGCGTGTGGGTTTCCACTTTGGGCATCAAACCACACTCTCTAAAGTTTTTGCCGTGGTTTTTCTTTCCTTCTCTCGCTAGTTTTTTTGAGTTTTGCCAGGGACCTTGTTCCAAACCCATAGTCTGATGTTTTTACAAGACTCACACACACACACACACACACACACACACACACACACACACACCTATACACACACACACACACACACACACACACCACAATGCATGTGGAGTCTTCATGCACCGGTTGACCTACATGCTGGCCCAAGCAGGCAATGAGGGTGGAGCTGATGGCAAACTTGTGGTGGTGGCTTATCATTTTAACTGCTGCTTTT